TTAAAATTTGTAAACATTTTTCATTCAGCCTGTATTTTCATTTTTGGCAGTTAAACCTTTGGTTTTAACTGGATTCCATTGAGTGCAGATAGTGCTCACGGGGATGTATTGCTATTTTCTTTTTTCCTCGCCGAACAGTGTGTCGTTTAGTAATATTAAAACTCATTTCAGTCCTCAAATTTCTACACAGTTCTCATGCTCAAATTTACTCTGTAAACCCTAGACTTACAAGTATTCATTAAAGGTGTTCATTTTTAATGTTCTTTCATGGACAGGTTATATCCAGATAGGTTTTTTAATGTGAGTAGGCAAACAAAATTAAGCTTATCTTACTATGTGAAAAATGTATCCTAAAACTGTTGAACAGAGACTAAAATATAAAAGTTCTGTTTACCAAAATTCTCCATTTTCTTTTTCCTTGGCAAACACATCAAGCTTAATTATTTATCATTTTAACTTGTCCTTATAACAGTCAGCACTTTAGCATACACTCTATGGTAGCAATTTTCAACTGGTGTGCCGCAAGAATTTTTAAAACATGTAATACCTTACTATTTAGTCATCGGCACTGACCTCTTTTCCCTTAGGTTGTCAAATAAAACAATGACAACAGCTAGCTCAACAATAGAGGTCCAGTGTGAATGGATCAAAATTATACCTTTTTGTTGTTGTTGGCTGATCGGCAAAAAATATATTTTTTGGTGTGCCACAGAATCTTAGTAATTAGCTTATGTGAGCTGTGATATGAAAAAGGTTGAAAATCACTGCTCTATAGGAAAATTCTTTTTTTAAACCTCAGAAAACAATCCTTTTTCTCTTTGAATAGCATTGCTTTCTGAAATATTAGACCAAAATTACTTCAGTCAGAGTCTTGGAATGCAGAACACAACCTTGGGGTCCTTATCCTATGGGTAAATTGTGACAGTCTTATTAATTCAGTATTTCTTTCTCCTCATAGTTTTTAACGGTGTGGAATTTCCATTTAAGTTATAGCTGACTTTAAAACTTTTGTATTTGGAGCAGGAAGAACAAGATCTGGATCAACAGGGAAATGAGGTATGATTTGTGTCGGGGCCCCTACCGCAACAGACTGCACTGCAGCGCCCAGAATGTCTGACACAACTCCTAACTAATTCAAACTGAGGCTAAGATAAGGCTCTGGAGTCAAACATTCTGGGTTTGAATCCCAACTTTCCAACATAAAATTTCAACCTTGGAAACACTCTTTTTGCCTGTTCCCTCATCTGAAGAATGGGAATGGTAACTGTCCCTACTAGGAGAGAGCTGTTTTGAGAACTAAGATTAATATATGTAAAGCATTTAGAAAAGTTTGTGGCATTTAATGACAACACTTTAGCTCCAAGCCTTTTGTCTGTAAATTTACTCATGTTGTTAAATAAATATGGGCAATCTTGTAGGCAGTCCACCAAATGGGAAACTAAGCCCTAGGAGTTCTCCTTAAGAAAAGGTAAGAGAGAAGGCTATTCTAGTCCAGAACTTCTCAGCTTCAGTACTATGAATATTTTGGGAGGGATAATTCTGTGTTGTGGGTAGCTGTCCCATCCTTGGTCTCTACCCACTAGATGCCAGTAGCACTCTATTCCTACCCCCCATCCCCACCCCCAGTCATGACAACCAAAAATGTTTCCAGATACTGTCCAGTGTCTTCTGGAGGCAAAACCTCCTGGTTGAGAACCAGTGGTCTAGCCAAAGTATCAGCCCCATCTCCATGCAGTGGATTAAAATCTATTTGTGGTTATTGTTGTGCTTCATTCATTTTAATCCATAGTAGTTTTCTGCAACTCGAGTAATACCCAACAAGTTTTTTCTCTCTTTGTCTTAAATGGATTATAAGTGCTCTTTTGAAAATCGTTCTCAACAATTTAAGTAGTAAAGAATATCTATCTATCTATCTATCTACAATTTAAGTAGTAAAGAATATCTATCCATCCATCCATCCATCCATCCATCCATCCATCCATCCATCCCATCCTCACCCGAGGATGTTTTTTTGTTCAGACAGAGTGGGAGGGAGGGAGAGGAAGAGAGAGAGAGAAACATCGACATGAAAGGGACACATCGAGTGGCTGCCACCCGCATGACCAACCAGGGTCGGGGACAAACTGCAAGCGAGGTACCCGCCCTTAGTGGGAACCGAACCCGGGTCTCTCTGGACCGCAGGCCGACACTCTAACCACTGAGCAAAACCAGCCAGGGCAAGAATATATTTAAATACCATTGGTCTTAAACTCTTTGGATCTATAAAGCAGAGCTTAAGACTGCATCAGTCAGATGAGGATAAAAAATATTTTGAGATACTAATTTGACTGGTTTTAGAGTTTTCCTTTTTTTTTAGAACTTATGTAAATTAATAATTATTTGTTTTCCCTTTTCAGGAAAATCTGTTTGACTCTTTGACAGGGCAGCCACATCCTGAAGATGTACTACTGTTCGCCATCCCAACATGTGCCCCTTACACTACCATGACAAACTATAAGTAAGTCGTTACCACTTTACTCAAAACAGCTAGCACAACAGTGGTTTATGAATTGTTTGTATATCTGTTTGCCAACACATACAATTCCTTTTTAAAGATACAAAGTGAAACTTACTCCTGGAGTTCAGAAAAAGGGAAAAGGTATTTAATTTTTTTTTTAATCTATGTTTTTAAACATTTCTTGATTGAACAGAAGTAGATTCTTCTAATTTCCATTTACAGCTGCAAAAACAGCCTTGAATAGTTTCATGCATTCCAAAGAAGCAACAGCAAGAGAAAAAGACTTATTCCGCAGCGTAAAGGTAAAGTATTCTTCCTGAACTTTCTGAAGATTGAAGAACATTCTGAAAAATGTCAGCAGTTATTTGCTATTTTTTGTTCTTATTTTATTTAGTAGATTCAAGCTGCAGCTACTTTTTTGGTAGAAAATGCTGTATTCCTAAAAGTAGTATAAAATAAGTAAAATAATTTCAGGTAAAAATTTTAGAAATGCCTTTATTTTGATAGAAGATACATAATTGTCATAAAAAGAAATGATTGACCATATAGAATGTGAAGATATTCAGCAATTCTCTTTTTTTAGGACACGGATTTATCAAGAAATATTCCTGGCAAAGTGAAAGTGTCTGCACCCAATCTTCTGAATGTAAAGCGGAAATAGCTGCAGTGAAATCCTAAAATGTATGAGAAGAGCCAATTTCATAGCCTTTTGGAAGTTCAAAGATGAAAATACCATGTAACGAGACTTCCACTTTTAAAAATGAACTAAACATTGCCTTGCTATATTCACCAAAAGGACTTACTCTTGTTTTATAGAGAGGAGACACTATCTGTGATAAGATTTCCTAAAATGTTTGTAGACAGTTAAATGCTAACTGTATACATCTGTAGTTATTCTCCTACATTTTCTTGAAATTTCGGAGGTTAATATTAAGTATTCATTTCACGTTGTAAAGAAATGGAATAGTGAAATGGCTTGATTGCTTAAACTATTGACTTGGTAGTCTACTCTGTATAATGTCTAATATATCTATTACTCACAGGCCAGTCACAACGTTGTTTTGTTTTTGTTTTTGTCCTGGTGGTGGTGGTGGTTGGGGGCAGTTAAACACTTAGGATTAAGTCTTGAAAACCCTAAGTACTGAAGGAGTACGTTTCCTTCCACCTTTACTTCTACTTGTCAGAAAGTATATTAGACCAGATTTAAAATACAAGTAATTCCCATAACTAACCTTAAGGAACAACACTTTGAAGAAATTGGTGTTGATCATTTCCATGCAAATATTTATACACCCTCACTTTTCACCTTAATTTCTTGTAATCTCACTCAGTTTTGTACCATTTTATTTTCCACCTCTCATAAGTATCAGTAGCATGTTACAGAGTACCTTAACCTATAATGTCAGAAGTGCACTTTTAGGCTTCCCAGTGAAGACTCCAACCCAACTTTCTTGTCTCCTAACAGAGTGGAGAATAAAGTCATACCTTATTTCCCTTCTTTTATGAGCTACAAAACTGTTACTTTTGCTTCTTTTTTTTTTTTTTTTTTTTTTATAGAGTGGGAGGGAGAGAGAGAGAGAAACATCATCGAGTAGCTGCCACCCGCATGACCAACCAGGGCCGGGGACAAACTGCAACCGAAGTACGTGCCCTTAGCGGGAACCGAACCCGGGTCTCTCCAGACCGCAGGCCGACGCTCTAACCGCTGAGCCAAACTGGCCAGGGCCAAAACTGTTACTTTTTAAATGATCAGGTAAGAGCCTTGCCGGTGTGGCTCAGTAGATTAAGCATCAGTCCCATGGACTGACTGAGAGGTCCCAGTTTGATTCCTAGTCAGGTCACACGCCTGGGCTGTGGGCTTGACCCCCAGTGGGGGGCATGCAGGAGGCAGTCGATGAATGTTTCTCTCTCATATCGATGTTTCTATCTCCCTCCCTCTATCTCTAAAAAAATCAATAAAAACCTATTAATAATAATAATAATAATAAATGATCAGATAACAGCTGCCTATAGTCAATATGACCACTTCCCCCAGGCCCTATACCAAAGCACTGAAGGCCAAAGTACTAAACAGCTGTTGGTCCTTCCAAAATTTCTTTTACCAGCTTATTAGTCCTATTGAGAATATATTTTTCCATTTGAAGTTAATGTTATAAAACCTTATGTGGCCTTGTGTTGTAAATACAACATAATAGACTATGCTTGACATTTGAAAAAAATCTAAGATAATAACTTCAGCTTGGGGCAGTGAACACAATTCAGTGTACAGATGATGTGCTGTGGAATTGTGCATCTGAAACCTGTATAATTTTGTTAACCATGTCACCCCAATGAACTCAATAAAAAGGAAAAAAAATAACTTCACCATTATAAGTGGTAAGAATAATTAGTATGTTTCTATAGAGTGATACCTTGAAGTTATCAAAAAGGAAACATAATAACCTTTCCTTAGGGTAAAAAACCCAAGTATTAATTTTCCTTTGTTTTAACAGAAGACAGTTACTGGTGTTAAATACATTTATTGTAAACTTTAGACACAAAAATAGGTTCTCTAGGCCATTCACATGCACATTAAGACCAAAAAGCTGCAAAACTACACAATGCATATAACTATACAAATGATGCCACTCTCTGATGTTTATAGAATTGCTGTCCATGCAATGTGATCAGAGGCATTATTATCTATAAAGCCTTAAGACCCAGAAGTGTTGTTACTACCAAACCTCTGATGAACACTGTGAAGTAAGTGTTTTGGAAGGCAGTTCCACGAGTTAGCTAACATTTCTTTAAAGCAAATGACTGCTTCTAAGCTTAGCCTGAAAGAACAAGGAAAGAGAAAAATAATTTCACTTTACTATTTTGAAGTACCTCACTTGATGAGCTATTAAAATAGAAACATTTTCTGTAAATATTTTCGTGGGAACTGGTTAATTGGATCCACGAAGGCTGTTAGTGCCCTTAAATTATCCATAAACCTAGAGCACTATTTTAAAGTGTTGAATACAATTTTAAATACTCTAAGTTCCAAGTAAAAAGTTACTTACCTTACAAGAGATTTTGGTTGAACTGAAAATATGAGTACTTCGTTACTGTGTGCCTGAAAAATAGATAATACATTAAAAAGCAAGTTCTTCTCAAATAAGTTTCAGCAATATTATGAACTATCCTTTAACATAAAGTAGTATACTTACAGCTCTGTGATGGACAAGAAGGTTATTGGCACACCCACCAAAAACAATTACTTCTCCTTCGTCACTGGCACAAGCTGTATGCCATAATCTACATTTAAAACAAAAGCTTGCATTTGAAGTTAGCCAAAACACCAAATTGATCATTTACACTACAGAATAGACTGATGAAATAAAGACCAGAGCCCTGGCCAGTTTAGCTCAGTGGTTGGAGCGTTGGCCTGCGGTCCGGAGGGACCCGGGTTCGGTTCCCACTAAGGGCATGTACCATGGTTGCAGTTTGTCCCTGGCCATGGTTGGGTCGTGCAGGTGGCAGCCACTCAATGTGTCCCTTTCACGTCGATGTTTCTCTCTCTCTCTCTCTCTCTCCCTCCCTCTCTCTCCCTCCTGTTCTATCTGAACAAAAAAATGGAGAAATGTCCTCGGGTGAGGATTAAAAAATAAATTAAATGAATGAATGAATGAAGACGAGAGCTCTTTGGTTCAGACCAAAACATGGAGTGAGAAGCAAATAAGGAAAAGTATCCAAAGCTAGAAAAATCAATGTCTTTAATCTGGGTGTATATTAGCATTTTCTCTTTGGTCCAGACCTAATAATGCAATGAAAGGTTTGAACTGAACAAACTGTTCTCTAGATCTTTGTTAGCAATAAAAATCTTATGGGAGATGGTATATGGCTTCTCCTTCCGCTTTTCATAGGCAGGGCCAGTTGGTCTTACACAAAGCATCTGAGGGATGCTGAATCTACTCAAGTAAACAAAGTACTTGAAGGCCTGATAAGTCTATGGAAAGATTATTTGTGCCAAATGAAGTCTTTGTGGCCTGACTGTACTGCGGTTAGAGGCTTAGGATAAAATGTAAGCTGACATATCTAAATGTGCTTTGAACACCTGTTTTGACTATCATTTCCTTATCAGTCTTTGTAACAGTTCTTTTTGAGGTTAACAACAAAAAATAATTCAGTGTTTAATAGGCTCTTTTTTTATCCTCACTCGAGGACATTTTTGCATTTATCTTCAGATAGAGCAGGAAGGAGAGAGGGAAGAAGAGAGAGAGAGAGAGAGAAACATTGATGTGAGAGAGAGACATCCAGTGGCTGCCACCCACACGATCCCAACCAGGGCCGGGGACAAACTGCAGCCAAGGTACGTGCCCTTAGCGGGAACCAAACCCGGGACTCTAGTCCGTGGGCAGCTGCCCTAACCACTGAGCAAGACTGGCTAGGGCAGTAGGTTCTTTTTCTGTGGTTTGACTTCTTACTACTCTTTGTTATGCAGTGCTACTGAAAATCTAATAGAAAGTTGATTTTTTTCCATACACATTAAGCTTTTTAAATTCTCACCAGTTCCTTTTTCTTTTTTTAATGACAAACCTAGATGCAGTTTAATTCACTTGGGTCAAGAGTTTGATTTTAAATGTTAACTATTTCAGTAATTTAAATCCAGCCCTATTTTTCATACAGAGATGATGGAAAAGAAAGCATATGATACTAGGATAACAGTTTTGTTTTGTTTTTCTTTGAAAAGGTACGATGTTAATTAAACCTTAGTGAATGCTAGGTCATGATGTATTTAATGCAGGCAAAGTTTCCTCAGTTGTTCTGTCTTACACACCTCTATGGACCTCATTAATTTAGTATAAGAATTGCCTTTTTAAATAGTTCATACCTTGGTTTGTCAGTGTAGGGATGATTAAACTGGATCCATTCATTTTTACTGATGCAGTAGGTCCAGGCATCACCTGATTGAAACAGAAAAAAGAACTATGAAGTATGTTATTCTTCCAATGTGACGTTGATATTTAAAGGGCAGAGCTTTATGCCTGGCCGGTGTGGCTCAGTGGATTGAGCATCAGATCAGTCCTATGGACTGAGAGATCCCAGTTGGACTGATTCCTGGTCAGGGCACACACCTGGGTTATGGGCTCGATCCCCAGTAGGGGGCATGCAGGAGGCGGCCAATCAATGTTTCTCTCTTACATCAATGTTTCTCTTTTTTTCTCCCTCTCTCTCTAGAAAATCAATAAAAAATATATTTAATAAAATAAAATAAAGGGCACAGCTTTAGCAAGAAAGGTAATAAATCAGATTGTTAGTAGATATAGAAAATATACTTCCTTTTTTCCTCTGCAATTAACCAAGTAAGCCCTTTGCTTGTTATAGTCCTTCAGCTTTTAAGTGGTCCAGGGCATTTCTTTACAGAATGGAAATATGTCATAGTATGAAAACAATTAATAGGGATATGTTATAAGATCAAAATTAATAGCAAACCTTCCAACCAACCCTATAGCCCTGACACATCTAAAATAGACTTTCTTCCAACTATGTATGTATTATATGTGAATGACATATAATGATTTCTTATCATATTTTTAAAGGACTTACTTAGTGGCTGTTTATCAGTGGTAAATCCTCCAAAGAGAAAAAGATGATCTGAAGAAACTGGTGTCAGTGAGTGCCAAGACCGGCCAACTGGGCATATGCCTTGTGGAATTCTGAAAATAATAGCTAAGTTACAATATCGATATCTAAAAGCAGAAAAATACTGAAGTTTTCTTTTAAAATTTATGTGGAATTAAAGAAAAAAGAGACTAAATTTAAGAAGGCTTTTTGGCAGTGGTTCTCAACCTTCCTAATGCGGCGACCCTTTACTACAGCTCCTCATGTTGTGTGTGGGCGTATCTGCATGTGGGCGGACCCGCCTGGAGACGACAGAGGAGCGGTGTCTCGGAAACCACATATTTCCAATGGTCTTTGGCGACCCCTGTGAAAGGGTCGTTCAACCCTCAAAGGGGTCGCGACCCACAGTTTGAGAACCGCTGCTTTTTGGTATTAACTACACGCTTTAGAATAACTATTTTCTTTGATGGTCAACTTTAGACCTTTTCTTTTCAACAAACATTGAGCACATACTATGTGCCGGGCACATAACTAGAACTGGAAATTTTTTTTTAATTCCTCCTTTAAGGATCTAATGATCATGTTTATTTAAATTCATAATTACAGAAAATTTAAGTAAGTACATTATATACTAATAATAGAGAATAAGGAAAAAAGCCATTGAAATTTTTCTGAAAAACTTTTCTAAATAATTATCTGATGAGATACCTACAATTCATTCCACTCCCATGTATCCAGATTAAGATAGTGAAGGTCATTCATTCTAGCATCCTAGAAAAGGATAATTAAATAGTTATAAATTTGAATAATTCAAAGCAAGTCACTGAAACTGCTTATATATACTCACTCGATATCTGCCTCCAAACACAAAGCCTTTGTTTCCAATACTTGCACAGGCATGGGCAGCACGAGGTGAAGGTGCTTTACCCTGTTAAAGTCATATAAGCAATTTAATAAATAAGTAAACTTTTTATAAATTCCAGAGTCTTCATTATACAAAAATACTCACATAGTGATGGCTAATATGTCTCAAGTGCTATGTTAAGCACTTTAATGTATTAATTCACTTAATTCTTCTATGTTCTACGGTTACAGAAGTTTGGACTAAGGACACTTGAATAACAAACCACTTTTCATGTAAAAATATGCAAGACACTTGAGCTTTTAAGCTGAAGTGTAGATTCTAGTCAATAGCAATACTAAAGTTTGACTACCAAAATGGAATTTTAATTTTACGTCTCTGAGGTATATTACTGAATAGGCTAGTTAATAAATAGAATGCTTGCTTTATTTAAAATAAAAGCTAGCACATTAGCCCTGCTAGTATGGCTCCATGGTTGAGGATCGACCCATGCACCAAGAGGTCACTGTTTCAATTCCCGGTCAAGGCACATGCTCAGGTTGTAGGCCCGATCCCCAGTGGGGGACATGCAGGAGGCAGCCAATCGATGTTCTCTCTCATTGATGTTTCTCTCCCCCTCCCTCTCTCTCTAAAATCAATAAAGAAAAAAAAAAATTTTAATAAAAAAAATAAAAGCTAGCACGTTATATGACATCCATGTCACAGGAGAAACTAATATTTGAGTAACTTAAATTCCAATATAGTGCTAAGTCATTTATTTAATTGCAAACAGTATCATTCAACATTTATTAGATAGTAGATACTAGGTGGGTCTGTACATGCATTAAACTTTTCTAAGTTTTAGAGCCCTTGGAGAATATGAAAGCTATGACTCTTTTCCAGAAAAGAAGAAGAATGAACTGTCAATTTTAAACCCCCTCCCAACTTCCCTTCTGTAACTAGTTTTGCTTTAATAATCCGTTATTCTTCAGTAACTCACAGTAGTTATAGGCTGGCTCCAGATAAATGTTTCAGTGTCTAAAATATGTACATGATCATTCCATCCTCTTGGATGACTTGAATTCTACAGAAAATAGTAAGAATCTCTGGTTATTTTACAATTACTTTATAAAGAGTATTTGCAAAATTATAGAGCTTTGGTCTGATTTATTAACAAAAGAAAATGAACAAACCTACTACCAAACAAAATTATTATCTCAACATACTGAGTAGGCCATATGAAAATATAAAACTTACCCAAAAAGATGTTTCATCAAATTCAAAAGTTCCCAATACTTTATCTTCAGGTAAATATCCATACCCTCCAAAAAATATTAACCTATTATATATGTATATAAAAAATAAAAAAAAAAGACAATAAAAATTCAAATACCCACAGGTTAGGATACAAGAGATTTTTCTTTGTTATATGAGTTGTAAAGGCACAGCTGAGGATTTGAAACATTCATATAGTAATGGCTGATGTGTCCCAGGTGCTATGTTAAGTGCTTCAATGTATTAACTCACTTAACCCTCATACATTCTACAGTTACAACAATTTCTGGCTAAAGATACTTGAAGGTACACCATTTCCACATAAAAACCCAAACCTGTGGTGCTAACTCACCTGTTTTTATATACCCAGACACCGAGTTTGTCCTTTGATGATGGAGGAATTCCTTGGCAATCAATTCTGTCCCACTGTAATACTCTGTCTGTAGACCTTAAATCCAGCATGTAGAACTGTCAGAAGCAATGATTTCAGTTAGATTTGGTTATGTGAAAGAAATTCAACCTTGGCATTTAATTTTGTTGTGATTTATTATAATAATAATAATAATAATAATAATAATAATAATGTCTAACTCAGTACTACTACAAGTGTGACTACAGACTGGCTACCCATCTACAAAACTTACTGAGTTTAGATAAGGAACTTGTGCCAGAATATAAATTACCTAAGTCACTAAGTGTCCTGTTTAGTTCAGCTAATTTTCTTTTCTTTTCTTTTTTTTTTTTTTATCCTCACCCGAGGATATTTTTCCATTTTTTGTACAGATAGAGTGGGAGGGAGAGAGAGGAAGGGAGAGAGGGAGAGAGAAACATCGACGTGAAGGGACACATTGAGTGGCTGCCACCCGCACGACCAACCAGGGCCGGGGACAAACTGCAACCGAGGTACATGCCCTTAGCGGGAACCGAACCCGGGTCTCTCCGGACTGCAGGCCGACGCTCTAACCGCTGAGCCAAACTGGCCAGGGCTAATTTTCTTTTCATAGCCACACTTTTTTGGTGAAGGAACAGAAGTGTACTGGTTTACATTCTGTGCCTTAAATAGGCACTTAGAGTTATACAGATCTAATTTATGGAATTACCAAAATCAGACTCAGCAATTGCACCTCCAAATTCAATTTAACAAACACACCTTACATGCCTACTTAACTCAACGAGCTAAGGACAAACCTTAAAAGATTAAGTATCAGTCTATCTTTAAGGGTTCACATCCAGATGCTTGAATAAATCTGACCATTTTATTTATATAGACACACACACACACACACACACACATTTTTTAACTTAAGACTCCTAAGCTTCCTTGTGATCATAGCCACTTGACATATTACTGACTACCATTTCTCAGACCGCCCCTGAAAGCCATAGCTTCTCTCTTTCACAAGCTTCCTCAGTCCATCCAAATTATTTCTCTCCCACTTGTCCTGAAAAATACATGGCTCAACTGCAGCCTCCAGTGCCTCATACCATCTTTTAGGCACATACTCTTTCTTCAAACAAAATCTTTAAGTAAAAGGCTAACATATAAAAACAAAAATGGTGCTACACTTGTTAAAATGATGGCGGAAGGGGAGGTCCAGAGCCACCTAACACCACAGGTGTCCTAGAATTCCCAGGATCACAGTTTGAAACCATCTCAGCCATATGTTCCATCTAACTGGACCACTTGGCATTTACATGAACAACATATTTGCTTATATCTCTGCATCTTGATACCTATATCTTGGCTACCCCTTCGAACTGTATTACTCAATTCAAGCATCACCTTTTGGGTTAGCACTACTTTCTCTGTTCCTCCAACCTACCAAACACAATGTCAAGGATTCTTTTTCAGATTCAAAATATTTACTGAGCTATTACTATGACCAAGCTCTGTGTATCTCTACCGTACGCTACTGCAGTCAGTTACTACATGTGTCCCTTCTAGAATAAGCGCCAGCAGGTACAAACTGTATTACTCATCTGAGTCTCCAATGTCTACCCAAGTCCTCAATATATAAGGTGCCCACTAGGTTGCCAAATAAATGAATTTATAAAAGTCTATATCATATGCACCTTTCTGACTGACTTCATCTGTCTCTACTGATATGGGAAAACAACTGATAATCTCTTTCCTATTTGGGAAAAAAAACATGAACAAAGTCTGAACGACAGTATCGCATGGTGCCAGATCATAGTATATGCAATGCTGTCAGTGTTCATTTATCCTTACAGCTTTCTGAGTGCTGGTCTGTTAACTTTTTACCCCTCCTCCCATGATTACCTCGTTTTTATCTAATTCACCGTTATTCATCTAACACTCTAGGTTTCCAAAAGAATAAGTAGCTGCAAAGAACACAAAGAAAAACAACATAGGAAGTTACTGCACACCGTTTACTAACCAAAGTTGATTTTATTAAAGGCTTAGGAAAATACAAACTGGTAGACAAAATACTAAAATACTAAAATGCACATTCATACCATAATCAAGTACACATATTCTTTAACTGGGACAGGAATAACTATGGGCTAACTATAGACGTCTATAGCTGCCTTGAACCGTAACCCTTAGAAACACTAACCTTATTCGTATTGCCTCTTGAATGGTGTCCTCCGAACAAGTACAGCACCCTGTCTACACACACAGCACAGCTTCCTGACATAGAAGGAGGAACATCACCTTCAGTGTTAATTTTTTTCCTGAGGGGGAAAAAGCAATGTAAATAACCCTCCCAAAAGGGAAATGCAAAAATATTTTTATTTTTCTTCAATTCCCACAATAAAGAGGAAAAACTAAAATGAACAGGCTGACTAGATCATGTCCACAGAGGGTCTCATCTAGGTCTAGAACTAATTCAAAGAAATGAGCTCTTTCCTCTTCGTTCCCCAGGCCACGCCTGCTGGCCCTGCACACGGGCAGAGGGGGAGCGTCCGAGAGCCTCAGTGCTGCATTCTTCTAGGAGTGCACCATTTTATGTTTTTCAAACTAAACTGCTTTTTATTTACATGGCCATAAGTGGTTGTTTTGTTTTGTTCTTGAGTGGGCTAGGAAAACTGCATCATCCCAATCCTGACAGATTAATTCAATAGGTGTTTTTTATTCAGTCACCTTTCAAATGAATCTGATTCAGACCGAATGGAATACTATGGACACTTAAGAAGTACTCACTACAGGCCAGGTACTGCTCGGAGTGCTCTGTGTGTTTTAACACATTCTGAATCTAAAATGAAGCTGAATCAAAACCAATCAAGAAGATTCAGAATATTAATAGGTCAATCAAGGTCTTGTACTCACAATATCACTTTATACTAAAGTTTTAAGTTTTAGTAGGCTTATTTCTTTTTTTTAAATTATGGGGCTAAGTAAAAAATACGTAGAATTCCATATAAAAAGAATATTATTATAAATTTCCAATCCTCTAGAAAAAGATTGACAAACAACTTAGAAAACACTGATTAGCTATGTACAGAAATAATCCTAACTTTAATTTAACTCTTAAATCAAGTGGGAGTACTCTTCCAGTTCTGAGATCTATAATATGTAACATATATAAAGCACAAAGTTCTCACAGTGCAAACCACAGGGGAAGACTACTGATAAATCCTCAGACATGGCTAACCCAGCCTTTTGAGAATCACATTAATTCTGCCACGGACATACTCTTGGGTACCACGGTTAGGAGACTAGCAAAAGATCCTTTCAGAATATCCCCATGGAAAGCAAATTTAAATGAGTTTTGTTTTTTAAACAAAACATGCTATGTCATGGAAATGTTAATGTTAGAGCTTATTAAAATAGAATACCACTTTTATTTCTAGTACATACAATCTATAATTTTTCACATTCAAGATACTATGTAACAAAAGACATAACATCTTGAAAAATACATATGTGGAACTTTTATTATATTTCCATTCCAGGATCTGAAACCTCTACTTCTTTAATACTATGATATTTATAGAGCCCTAAACAGAAATTTCTTCAAGGGTCATAAAACCATCTAGTAATTACTGATACTTCTGAAGAGATGCCAAAGTATCTAAGCTTAGCAGGTAGGCCAACATAGCACAACATTGTTTTGAGAACATATAGATAGCTTAGCATCTTTAATGAAAATGTTTTTATTCATTAGGCTGGGCTTTACAGAGTTTCTTTTTGTTTGCAACATTATAGTCCCCTTATAAATACAGTTACCATCTTCCAGTCTCCATGTTGTAGATCCATAGTTCTTCTCTAGGGAGATAAAAGTCATATAATCCTCTGACTTGGTTACTCTAAGAATCAAAAAGAAAATTGCAAATATAAAAAATAATTGGTATTCTAAAGAGGCACTATTATATATTTTTCATATCTTATTTGAGATACTAAGAATTATGAAAAATTAAATAGGTCCCACAAGTCCATCAAATGCACAACCCTCCCCACCCCGTGACACATTCAAGGTAATCTTACTATAGACAGTTCCCATTTCAAATTTTTGATAGAGCAGTTGCAAGAAGCAGGTGCAGTGGGGCAGGAAATAAGATCACTGGGCAGTCTCTAAGGCCACCTGATCCTGAAGAGACCACACACCAAATGTCAGCTGCATGACTTCAGGAGAGATTACCTGAGCTGTGGTCAGCAGACTAAAGAAAGGTCTACCTTTAATTCCACACTCACACTGGCACATGACATATAGTTTGGTAGCCATTGTTTCCTTTGACCCATTCATTCTCTACCAAGATGAAGAGGGCAGCACTGTAAATATGCAAATATTAAGTCTTTATGCAATATTTTAAGTTCCTTGTTTTGCTCCATTTCCTTCAGGTAATGGTTAACAGACTGAGTGTACCAAATGCTAGAACTAGCCGAGTGCTTTATTTAACCCTCACATCAACCGTTAAAAGTAGTTGGTATTTAAGAAAACAGGTTTTGGCCCGGCCAGTATGGCTCAGTGGTTGAGCGTCAACCCATGCACCAAGAGGTCGCCAGTTCTACTCCAGGTCAGGGCACATGCCCAGGTTGTGAGCTCAATCCCCCCACGGGGGGGTGGGGGGGCATGCAGGAGGCGGCCAATGGATGTTTCTCCCTCTTCCTTCCTCTCTCTCTAAAATCAATAAAGGAAAAAACAAACAAACAGGTTTTTTAGAGCTTTAATTTGCCCCAGGTTATTTAGCAAGTAATGGTGGAACCAGGATTTCAGCCTCCTTACCCTGAATTTGCAACTTCAACTGCTGCCTGATCTCTCCAGCCTTTGACCCTCGCTGGCCACTTTCCAAACAATGTCCACGTACAGTAAACAATTGCAGTTCACTGAGAATGGGTGTCAGAGTCTAACTAGCTTGAGTACTATACAGGAATAGAGCACCTGGCCACATAAACATTTTGCTTTTCACTCTACCACTTCCAAAGGGAAAGGCTAGAAGACAGCAGGCTGACCTGGACCTGGACTAGATCAGCCTGGCCTAGGGACAAAAACTGACTACTGTGTGAGAAGCTAAGTTTTTTCCCTTTAAAACAACCTCCAAGGGCTTCCTGAGCCTACTCTTGGTATTCTAGCCAAAATGTGGACAGTCTGTTTTTGAACCCCCCACTTAGTTCACTGATCAGCCTCTGGACTCTGCCTCAGTCCTCAGCAACCAGTACCTCAAAAACAGCAACAGAAATCTGCCCTGACAACCCTCCCTCTCCCCTGGCCCAAAGAAAAGTCTCATTCCCTTAATGCTGCTGATTTTTACAAACAATTTAGAATAAAGTAGTTTAGACTGAAGTATGATTGACCAACCGGTTTACTTTTTTCCTTGGGAATTATTTACATTTCAATAAGGCTCACCACATACCTACCCCCTTCCTATTAACAAGTACCCTCTAAACACCTATTCATTGGAAGCTGAGGAAAACAGATTAATTAGGATTGGTACCAAAAAAAATAACTATTGTGGTTAAACTACATGAAGTCATCAGGACAGCTACAGCACTTTATCTCATCTATCTTTTGAGTCATCTCAACTGTGGTCAACTATGATCAGATCAGGTGTATCACGAACTGACAGTTACTAACAAGGCTCACAAAGTCATGAAAGGCACAGGTAAAATGGACTAGAGTTCAAGCAAATGGGGGGGGGGGTGGAGCGACCTTTTTTTCTTTCAATGTTTTTATTGATTTTGAGAGAGAGAGGAAGGGAAGGGGAGGGGAAGAGAGAGAGGGAGGGGGAAGAGGGAGAGAACAGCAAGCAAGCGAGACAGAAACACTGACTGTTTGCCTCCCATACACACCCCGACTGCAAACCCCAAACCTGGGCATGTGCCCTGACCAGAATCAACCAGCGACCTTTTGGTGCAATGGTGAGCGCCAAACCGGCTGAGGCGCATCGGCCAGCTAAGACCAAAAGGGACGAAAAAGACTATTTTTCATAGGAATGCATCGGAGCCAAGTGAACAAATGAAAGGAGACCATTATGGAACGCGGAGCCGCACTGGAGTTCGGGGCGCGAGGGCAGAGGGGGTGGGCCAGGGGTGAGGCGGGCGGGTCCCCGCCGGCTCCGGAGGACCGGCCTGGCTCCTCACCGGTAACTAATTACGATGGTCATCACCAGGGCTCAAGGAGCTGTGGATTTTGGGGGGTTACTGGTGGAGCTTTTCCATTAATTTTCTTAATAGAGGTTTCTCGTGGAAAATGCCAGCCCTTTCTCAGCTGCAACCAAAAGGGAAAATTGCCCCCAAGTGTCCGAACCACAGCGATGCCATCCGCACAGGTGTCGCTGGTCCCGGACGCGCGGGAAGGTTAAATGGGGCCACGGTTCCGGAGGCCCTGCCGAATGACAGGGGCTCCTACGCCTCAGTCACCCCGTCTGCGGCCAACGGTGCGGCGGGGCCACGACCGTCACCCCCAACTTTCAAATGAAAACGCGGCGGGTCGCTCGGGGCGGGCCGCGGCCGCGGGATCCCCACTCGCAGGAGAAGAAACAAACCAAAATCCACCGGCAGCATCGCGACGCGGGGGCGCGGGAGGCGGGCGCTCGGGGCCGCCCGCCCCGCTGCCCGGACCGGCCCCCGAGCGGCGCCGCCGCGGCGCCCACTGACCTTGTAGCCGCCCCAGACGAACATGTGGCGCCCGTCGCCGACGGCTACGTGGCCGCTGCGCTCGGCCGGGCAGGCGAGCTCCAGGGACTCGTAGCCCTCGTAGGCTGGCCCCGGCGCGTCGTCCGCCCGCAGGTCGTCGTTGCCATCAGCCATCTTGAGGCTGCACTTTTGTTCACGAATAATCCCCACGGCCGCGAGCGGGGAGACAAAGGAGCCGGCAGGGAGACGCGAGCCGCGGCGACAGGGACAGCGTTGAGGCCGCCCCTCGCCGCTCGCGTCCGGCCGGCCCCTCGGAGGCCGGCCCCTCGGAGGCCAGGGTCGCGGGCGGGGCGGCGGCGAGGGGCGGGGAGGGGGCCCGCCGAGGCCGGCGCCAGCCTCCAGCCCTGGGCCCCGCCCCCGGCTCCCTCACCCCGCCGAGGACCTTGTTTACGCCGCGGCCGGAACCGCCCGTTCCGCTCACGCCGCCGCCGGTCCGGAAGCGCCGCCAGTGCTCAGCGCCCCCAGCGCCCGGTCCGCCCGCCGCCGCGCCTGCGGCCCCGCCGAGGGCCCGGCCGGGAGCTGTGCCCGAGGGGCGTCCGCACGCCCCAGCCTCCTGGCACGGCGGGCGCCGCCAGGCTGCGCTGGGTGCCAGCCAGCTCTCCCAACGACGTTTCCTTCTCCAGAAGTTCCCTCGAAGGGTGCGCGCCTGGAAGGGGCAGTGACGGGGCCCGCCGCCCCGGGGACGGGGAGACGCGCGCGCCCCTCCGTGCCGCCCGCCGCGCCCTGGTTCCGCGGAGACCTTGATTGAGCTGGGAAAGTCGCACGAAAAGCGTTTCAAACCCCACCCCTGTCCATTCATTCGGGCGAATCCCGCTCACACCCAGACACTGTTTTCTCCTACATTTTATATGACACCTTTCCATTAGGGCAAGAGCAATTCTGAATCACTATAACCCACCCTTGGCTCCGCTCCTGTAAAATGGGGCCGGACTGGCGTACGCTGGAAACCCCTCATCTAGTGGTGCCTCTGTGCTTGGACGAGTGTGTGTGTGGGGGGGGGGGGGGTGCTTCATTATCCTCTCCTCCCGTCCTCGGGCTGGAATCACGTCTAGAAGGAATCCTCTGAACAACAAAAGGCTTTTCTCACCAACATGTTCACAGCCTGAAACTCCTTCCATAGCCACTGCCTGTATGTTTACAATGTATCAAAATTTGTGCTATAGGTGACAGCAGTTCTTAGAGGAAAATATATATTAGAAAAGAAATCTAGCCCTGGCCAGTCTGGCTTAGCGTTAGAACTTCGCCGGCGGACCGGAGAGTCCCGGGTTCGGTTCCCGCTAAGGGCACGTACCTCAGTTGCAGTTTGTCCCTGTCGGTTGGGGTCGTGTAGGTGGTAACCACTCGATGTGTCTCTCTCACATCGATGTTTCTCTCTCTCACTTCCTCCTTCTCTCCCTCCCACTCCATCTGAAGATAAATGCAAAAGCCCTCTGGTGAGGATTTAAAAAAAAAATCTAAAAGCAGTCATCTTATATTTCCATCTTAGGAAACTAAACAAAGAAGAGCCAATTAAATCCAGAGTAAGCAGAAGGAAATACAGAGCAGTATCAATGAAATTGAAAACAGGAAATCAACAAAACCAAAAGTTGATTCTTTAAAACGAATCAGTAAAATCAATAAGCCTCTAGCCAGGCTGAGAGAGAGAAGACACAAATTACTAATATCAAAAGTGAGATAGCAGCTATCACTACAGGTCCAGTGGATATTCAGAGGGTAATAAATATGAACAACTCTATGCCCACATATTTGATAACCTAGATTAAATGTACCAATTCCTTGAAAGACACAATCTGCCAAAACTCAAATAGGTCTATATCTTTTTTAAATGTATTTTTATTGTTTACACTATTACAGATGTCCCCATTCCCTCCTTCTTTTACCCACCTCCACCCAGCCCTTGCCCCCAAATAGACCTATATCCAATAAAGAAATTGAGTCAATAAAAATATATATATATATATATGGCAGTGAAACTATTTGTATGGTAATATAATGGTGGATACATGTTGTTATCTGTTTGTCTAAACCGATACAATGTACACTATCAAGAGTGAACCCAAATATAACTCTGGATTTCAGGTGTGTCTTAGCTCAGAATGCTATAACAAAATACCATAGACTGGATGGCTTAAACAACAGACATTTATTTCTCATGGTTCTAGAGGCTGGGAATTCCAAGATTAAGGTGCTGGCTGATTTGGTTCATAGTGAGAGCCTTCTTTCTGGCTAGCAGATGACTGCCTTCCCATCGCATCCTCACATGGCCAGAAGTGAGTGGGAACTCTGGTCTCTTCCTCTTCTTAGAAGGGCACTAATACCATCATAGGATCTCTCCCCTCAAGTCCTTATCTAAACCTGATTACCCCCCAAACACCCTGCTTCCAAATGCCATCACATTGAGGATTAGGGCTTCAACACATGAACTGGGGTTGGGGGACAAACATTCGGTCCATAACAGGGTGATTTAAAAAATGTTCTTGCTGTAGCCACAGCTGTATGGTAACTAACACACTGAAAATTCCAATAGAATGACGTTAACACAATGGAAAAACAGGCACCAAAAAAATGTGCACAGGGGGCACTGTTTGTTTATTAAAATGTTCTGAAATCAAAATTTTAAGTTGTTAGACAGTATACACTACCCTGAAAATTACTGTCTTAGTGAGTTTATATTTCTCTCACACATACATACATATAAGTAATATATTGGTGGAAACATCACTTTGTGCTTGTGCTGACAGTATAAAGTTCTGAAAAATATTTTAAGCTTCTATCAAAAGGCTAATGATTTTTTAAAGATGTTTATGCAAAAATACTATTTGGAAAAAATGTACACTAATTTTGATGTGCTATTTACTATATCATAGTAGAAATGAAAATACTAATAAAGAATTCTTCCTGACAACTGGAAGAATATCCTGAGAGACACAGTAAAGATGGCCAGAAGTTCTTTTCCCTTGAGAACCAGACTGGAGACTTATTTTGTGAACCACCTGAACAAAACCTTCTAGAATCATCTTTCAAACGGAGAACCTATAAGGGAGTGTTCAGAACTAATGTTAAGAGGCTGTCATTGCCTTGGGCTCCTATATACTGTGGAGGTCAACAACGCAAACGTTGATAGCAAGGAATGAATACTGCTTGGCTATCAAACTTCAAAACTGGCTTTGCCAGCTCCCAGGATTCCTCTATCTCCTAATAGCAGAAGAGCCCTGGTTTAAGCCAAGTTATAGAAACTGAAGTTGAGGATAAGAACTCCCTGCCACTCCCACTATGGGGCTTCCTCAAGACATATAATTTTTGGAGTAGCACAGTATATTAGGTCAAGTAAGTACAGCACCAGTTACATGTGCCATAGATAATACATAGATTTTCATTCTCTTCAAGCATAAATGTTGGTGTGTATTTTGAGGGGGCTAATCCAACTTTTAATGTTCTAAGTAAACCATTTAAAAACAGAAGTGCTTTGCCCAGCCAGTGTGGCTCAGTGGATTGAGCATCGTCCCATGCACTGAGAGGTCCTGGTTCGATTCCCAGTCAAGGCACATGCCCAGGTTGCAGGCTTGATCCCCAGTAGGGATGTGCAGGAGGCAGCTGATCCATGTTCCTATGTCTTTCTCTCTTCCTCTCTCTCTAAAAAATCAATAAAAACATATTTTAAAATAATAATAAATAAAAGATAAGAACAGAAGTGCTTTTCTAAGAGACTAGAGAAGGCATTCATATAATCCAGAAGCCATTTTAAAAAGTGCTCATTCCACGCAGTGTCATCTATCACTATCCAGTAGGTTCTGATATTTTCCCCTTAAACATGAAATGCTGATACTGAAGCTCACTGTAATAAAATAATTACTTCTAAGGTGTATATTGCCTGTGAGATTCATTTTTTAAATCTGTTATTCAGCCTAAAAATAGTAAGAAAAAATAAAAACTTACACTGAAATATTGTTTGTACAATGAACTCTAATGACTGGTTCACACTAACAAAACTGAGAAAATAGTAAATCTACATAGTTTGTATAATAAATAAAACACAACACATACTATTTCAATACATAAATAGAAGCTTTACACATCCAAAATATAATACATATATATAAAATATATCTCTAAAATGTATGAGATACTACAATCTACTATAATTTTCATTATAAATCACAATAAATATATTTGCTTTAACATTTTAAATTTCAGATAATTTGCATGGTGGTATTGTGAAGAGTAATTTTATATACCAAACCTTTTAGTAATAAACTGTTATTAGTAATTCAATGGAAGGGTATGCCTGTGATAATATGAACAATTTCTTAATTACGGCAAAAGTACTCTTTTAAGGACTATAAAGATATAGTGTTTTATTTCTATATAGACAATACTGAAAATAAATGGGATAACATTTTCAGTATCCTTAAGCATCAACTTTATATAGAATGGTGTGGGGCAAATTGAGGGGTTTCCATAAAGGCAAATTACTAGGATTGCCATTCCTTTTTAATAGTTATGAAAATTATTTTAGAAGCACTCTTCCAAGGCAAAATGTATTTTAATGTACCTCAAAATTAATAAATACACTGCTTCTCAATATTTCAGAGGCTGGATGACAAATAAACCTCCACTTTCGACACTTTAAAATATGGTCTTTATAGATAGATAGATAGATAGATAGATAGATAGATAGATAGATAGATAGATGATAGATAGATAGATATAGATAGATGATAGATAGATATAGATAGATGATAGATAGATAGATAGATTTGGACAAACTAATAACTTAGGGGTAACAGAAAGCAACTGAATGCATTTCATTCCCCCACTCAAATAAAGGTTTGAGGAAACCATATGAAGAGAAAACAGGAAGTTACAATGATGCTTAAGAATACTTTACTGGATGAGTGCTAAAAGGGCAGGCATTCCACATTTAATACCACCAGTGTTTGCCTATTTTATCATTTGGCCAGCTGTATTAGTTATTTAAAGAGAAGCTTTAAGTAATTTTAAAGTGACTTGAGAAAGTTTATTATTTCTAAAAGTTGATATGTAGTGTTTTTGTATATCATTATGTAGAGGGATTTCTAAAGTCCTTGGGTAATTTCTTATTTCCTCAAATTTGTATATTTCCAGCAATGAGTACACAGTGAGTTAATATCTCCTACAATTGGACTTACTTTCAGAAAGTATATTTTTCTGCAGATTATAAGGAAATTATTTTTGAAATATAAATTACTCTGCCATTAACATCTCATTCCCATACACTCCATTCCATGTAACCACTTTAACATAGCATTTTTGCTTCAGATTTTATTTTCTAAATAAAGCCTACAATATGGGGGGAGTAAATATACAGTCTGATTAAAATGGTTTAAACATATTAAATATATAGAGTATATAACAACTTAATTGTTACTGATCCACTGATACTTATTTTCTGTCTCTTCTTTTTGGGCTCTTTGTTCTTCTCGGTGGCTAGCTGCAGTCCAGAATGTGATTTTTTTGAGTACTTGTTGCAAAAGTTTAGGAGGCAATAAAGATATTTGACTTTCTAAAATTATAGCATTTTTACCAATGCAGTCAAGGCATGACCTATAAACAAAACATAATAGAATTATTAATTTTCAAGTAATAATATAAAAAATATATAGGTAAGTTTCTTAAAAATAAAAATCATTCTTAAATTCTTGCATATTAATGTATTTCCTTTGTATTGTTTGGAATATGATAGGATGTATGTTCTTTCCAGAGCACCACAATAATTGTATATCTTTATTGCACAGAACCTGTTTCTGACCAAAATCCAACAGAACAGAAATTACAACTTACCATGCGTGATGTTCTTTAATAGAAAGGATTCAGACTTAATTTCAAAGCAGGATAGTCTACAACAGGCCCCTTTCACCTATCCTTGCAGCCCAACATCCATTTACACTTCTCTGAGAACTTTTTCTTCCATCTCCGAGATGAAGCTTCTGACATCCATCCATTGTTACAGGACGTGACCCGGTTCTCCCCAGACCACCTCTGTCAGTGTCTGCCCTGGACACTTAGGTTGACCCAGAGCGAGCTGGTCTGAGGAGAGGAATGGAGCAGAGACGCAGGAGGAGCCAAGAGACCACCAGAGCTTCTCCCCGCCTGGGGGCCTGGAGTTCATCTTTTCCCTTTCATCCTACTAGAGGGCAGTATCCTTCCAAATGCAATTCCATTTTGTTTTAAACTACCTTAAAGAAGGTTTTGTATTTTAAAACCAAAAGAAACTTAAGATAAAAATCATCAAAAGAGCATCGATTTCAACTGATAACTTTAATTCAAAAGGTAAATATTTTATAAAAGTTTTAAAAATAGATTCATTGGATTTTGCTGTGGTTAATCTCAGTTGTCATTTTTACAAGGATTTCCACTCAAGAGATTTATATCTTCTTCCACGCACTCATGAAGCCTTTTTCCTCTACTCTATGAAAATGCCCAATAAGAAGAGTGGAAATGGCCCTGTCCGGTTTGGCTCAGCGGTTAGAGCGTGGGCCTGTGGTCCAGAGAGACCCAGGTTCGGTTCCCACTAAGGGCACGTACCTCGGTTGCAGTTTGTCCCCGGCCCTGGTTAGGTCGTATGGGTGGCAGCCACTCGATGTGTCCCTTTCACGTCGATGTTTCTCTCTTCCTCTCTCTCTCTCACTCTCTTTTCCTCTCTCTCCCTCTCACTCTATCTGAACAAAAATGGAAAAAATTGTCCTTGGGTGAGGATTAAAAAAAAAAAAGAGTGGAAATGTTCCACATTGGTACAGAAGGAGTACAAGAAAATGAAATGACTCCTGTATGTGCTGCAGATTTATCTCTGCTGCGATAGAGACACAGCAGCTCCTGCGCCCTTCAGTAAGTGGGGAGGGAAGCCAGATGAGGAGATGGACTGTCATTACCTTCCACTCAGTGATTCAGCAAGTATTTATTAGTATGTACTACATATTAGGTATTGGTTTAGGAGAAGGAAACCCAATACTGAGAAAAATTCTATTTCAACCTTCAAGAAGATTACAATTTAGTGAAAAAAAATAAACAATTAACAGTAAAATGTTATAAATATTGTGACTGGGATAAAGTGAAATCGCCAGGACAGGTACAGGTCCTATGGAAATCAGAGAGGAAGAGTAATCAGGACAGCCTGGTCGGCCAGGGAAAGTTTCCAGATGGGAGGTCCACACTGAGACCACGAGAGTCTCAACAAATTAAATAAACTAAGATAGAGGAACCCCACCATAGAGGAACCCCACCTACAGAGCCCCAGGGAAGAGAAATAAGATTTATTACCGAGGAACCATGTCCTACTGCTTGTTGTTTGTTCCCAGAGAATGCTAAATGCTCCCTGACTTTGAATTTAAAGTAAAATGATTACTCTTGCTGCACTGTGGACAGTGAGCTGTGGTGAGCATGCTTGACACAATCAATATGAGTACATTCCTGATACACTCAAGTTCTGATATGCTCAGCATCAAAAGGGCCTGCACCCACTCACAGAAGCACTGGATGGTCACCTAGTCCCAGCCTCAAATACAGGCCCATCCATGGTGTCCTTTTGCTTTCCCTCATTTCCATACTGTTCATCTTCCCCATCACTGTTTACCTTTGTGGAGGAAAGACTGTTCCAAGATGTGACCGCTGCCTGACCAGTGAGCTGGGCCTGGGCCAGAATGGGGAGAGTGTTTCCCCGAACACCCACCTCCCTGGGGACTGTCTGATCCTGACTGGTGTTTGTTGTGACATGAACCAGTGCCTCTCCCCTGCTTCATACTAATGGTCCCTGGACAGGCCATTGTCTTGGGCTGGCAAGCATGTAAAGCAATTTACCATAATCGACAGCATTCCTGTATAAGTACCGGGACTATCCACCCCTTTATCCCATGCAATTCTTTGGTGCTTACGAAGTAGCGTGGGGATCCATTTCATCATACGGCCATTCAAGATGCGCCTGCTACATAAGTTTCCCTCAATAAACTCCATTAATTACCAGACTGGAGTGCCAGCCTCCTTCTTCAGTCTTTCCTGCCCTCTGCCTACACAGAAGGTTTTCAGTCCTGGCACCTTTCCCCGGGGTCTGTGTGTACTAACAGTATTCCCTTCCAAAACTCTCCATGCTTTCTGAAACACCAGCTGTGTCTGCAAACACCCCTGCTTCCACTGACTTTCTGTCCTCACCTTAACTGAAAGGGAAGAAATCGCTGTACATGTAGCCTTCTTGAGAAAAGAGTACACATCCCCCTCACCTCCACTTTCTCAGCCCCGCAGCCCAGCAGTCTTCTCTCTCCTCACTGCTGCCTGCAGCCGCTCTCACTTCACCTCACCTTCTGACGTGGCCACCCATCACCCTCGGGCTCATCCCCACCCCGCCCCCAGCCCCACCTACATCGAGGACTTTGGCCCTGGCTCACCACATTCTTGCCTCTTGACTGATTTTACTGTCTGTGGAAAACTTTTTTATTCTTTATGACCTCACTCAGGGCAGTTCCACCTCTGAAATCTTAAACTTCCATATCCTCTTCTTAGACCATAATCCTTGCATTCTTTTTTAAAAATTTATTTAAAACATACTTAATAAATCATTGTCAATTTTTATAATGTTTCAAGTCCATTCTTTGTTGATTTGCCTCTACATTTATATGGTTAAGTCACTGTTGCTGTGTTTCTTTTTTTTTTTTTCCTCACCCGAGGACATTTTTCCAATTTTTGTACAGATAGAGTGGGAGGGAGAGAGAGAGAGAGAGAGAGAGAAACATCGATGTGAAGGGACACATCAAGTGGCTGCCACCCGCACGACCAACCAGGGCCGGGGACAAACTGCAACCGAAGTACGTGCCCTTAGCAGGAACCGAACCCGGGTCTCTCTGTACCGCAGGCCAACGCTCTAACCACTGAGCCAAACTTGCCAGGGTGCTGTGTTTCTTATCTATGACCATATTATTTTTATATCCCTTCATTTGTGGATTCTTAAGATGTTGCATCGTTTTAATTCTTACACTCTCTTATTCTTGGACTCTTCCTGACTCACCAAATAGTAAGACTCCTCCCATTTTAACTTGCTTTCCTATCCAGCCTAGTCCAGATGCACTTCATTCTCTTGCCAACACTTTAATGCCCCTCTCCACTGTCCCTGATACACCATGCTGGCTAAATTCCAACCACAGGTAAGTTTAGCCAACTCTCTCCTGTCTGCACCTGCAGCCTGGCTGCTCAGTGCTGCTGGAGAAAAGCATGTTTCCACCACCGTGGCCCACTCACTGCACAGTGATTCTGTTCTGTCTCAGCTGTTACTCCTGATACTCAGCACCGTGTTATGTGTCCCAAATCAGCATCTTCTCGCTCACCTCAGCAGCTATTTCAGATTTCACCACTCTCCTTAAGTTCATTCCCTCACCTCTCCTTTATCAGACAACCTCACTTGCAGCTAAAACTTCCTAAGAGCCCTGCCTTCAACCAATAAATTCATGTGTCTTTATATCTACACTTCCTTCTTTCCTCACTATTTTAAAAATATTCTTGCTCCAGTCAAGAGGCAATTCAATAACCTCTTTGCTAAAATCCACCTCCTTAAACCATGCTCTGCCGATTTTCCTTCACTTCTTGTTTCCAACAACTTACTCCCATTGGTTTCTTCCCCTTCACATGTGAACAAATATGTTCACTCCTTCCTTGGTCTTGGTGCTCATCCCCGGAAGGCATCCTGGCTTCCACCTTCACTTACTAACAATTTCCTAGTACAACAAACCCTCCATTTTGCGGACCCTGATTTAACAGACTTCGGATTTAATGGACATTTCCAGTCTGTATGTCATATGTGAAAATTAACACTTAATTTTTGAATTTTGGCCAAGATTTGCTTATAATTAAATTAACATGTTATTGTTTTTCTCATTAATTAACTTTTTTTTTATCAAATACGCCATATGTTGGAAAAAACGCTATAGTACTTTTGCTGACATAAATAAATAGTACATATCTACAAGTATAGTCTACATTTAAATCTAAGAGTCACTGCTTGTAAACAATGTTTGGTGAATGATTAGCATGTGATTGCACTTCACTGTGCCAGGTATTGGTCCTGTTGTCGTGTGGCTGACTTTCCGCAGCAGCTTTAACTCTGGCAGCCAGCAGATGTTCTCACGATCCCAGGTGTGCTGAGCCCTGCCCCGTGTGCATCTGTTTACTTGTGGTGACTGGAGAATGCACGCATTTACTAGACCTATTCAGTATAAATTTAAAACCACAGTAATACACAGTAATAGAAAACTTTTCTGTGAAATTAAACTTTCGAACATAATTTTAATTACACAAATGTGTCTTCATAAATAAAAACAAGAAAATTACCTAATTTTTCAACTTTTTAACATTTGCATTCAGATAACCTACTTCATCATATAAAGGACTTTCAGCTTTAAAAGACACCCGCTCACCCAAAGTAGTCCATTACATCGAGGTTTTACTGTCCTGTAAAGGTACTTTTCAATCCAGACACCCTGTGACCTCTTTACAGTGCATAATCTCTCCATCTTGAATTCTCTTCTCCCTCAGGTTTTATGTTCCCATCATCTACTGGTCCACCTTTGACCTCTCTGGTCACTCTCTGCGCCTACTTTTCCTCTACTTGCTCCTCAAATGTTACGAGCTCCTAAAGCTCAGCTGTTGGCTTCATCTTTACTCTCAAAACTCTTCCTGGGCAGAACTAACCGATACCCATTTATACTCCAACAATTCTTAAATCATTATGTCTAGCTCCATACACTATTTCATGGATAGCTCCTATACTTAGAGGGCCCATAAGCACTTCAAACTCAGTATGTCCAAAACCAAATGTATCACTTCTCCCATCCCACTGCCTTCTCCCTATTCTATCATTAATCCTTCCCTTCTTTTTCCCTTGGCATCCATGCAACTACCACACCCATTTTACCTTCTAAATATCCCCATCTCCCTCCCTTCTCCAGTTCCACTGCCATTTCAGGCCCTCGCTCTGTGCCTGACCACCACGGCAGCCTCCACTAACTTTCCTGCCCAGTCACACATCCCTCCAGTCTCCCATCCACAATGTTGCCAGAGGGAATTTCTAACTTGTCATATGATCATCTCATGCCTCTGCTCCAACTTTTGCAATCCTTCCCGATCTCCTACAAGATAATGTAAACTCTGCACGACAGACAAAAAGCTAGATGACATATGCTTTCTGTTTTCCTGTCCAACCTCATTACTTACAACTCCCCCCTCATACTTATATTGCAGGAATATTCAAGGCCTCCGTTTCCAGGGCACTAACACCTCACCTGCTTGTTCACAGCAAATTCTTATCTCAAATTCTTCTTCTGCAAAGACTTCCCTAGCCTTCACAACCTTTTTTTTTTTTTTTTTTTATCCTCACCTGAGGATATTTTTCCATATTTTGTACAGATAGAGTGGGAGGGAGAGAGAGGAAGGGAGAGAGAGAGAGAAACATCGACGTGAAGGGACACATCGAGTGGCTGCCACCCACACGACCAACCAGGGCCAGGGACAAACTGCAACCGAAGTACGTGCCCTTAGCGGGAACCGAACCCGGGTCTCTCCGGACCGCAGGCCGACGCTCTAACCGCTGAGCCAAACCGGCCAGGGCACAACCTTTTTTTTAAATCCTCACCCAAAGATATGTTCTTATTGATTTTTTTTTTAGCAAGAGAGGAAGGGAGAGGGGGAGAGAGATCAATCACCTGCCTCCCATATAGGCCCTGACTGGGGAGTGAACGTATAAACCTGGCTATGTGCCCTGACTGGGAATCAAACCCACAACCGTTTGGAGTCCAGGACAATGCTCCAACTAACTGAGCCACCTGGCCACAATCTTAACTATGTGGACAGAGGGCCTTCTTCTCTAGTATTCTCATGAACTTGGTATATGTTCATCACAAAGTGGGATGACTCCTCAAAAAGGTCAGCCATTCACAATGTGTGGTCCCAAAATAATTCATTTTATTATTAAATGAATGGAAATTTGCTTACAGTGAGTATATTCTCCAGGCGTAACCACAGGAAAAATAAATTTACAATGTAATAAGATATTTGAAACAATAACTTTCCTGGAACAAATAGTAACTTCCAGCATACAAAAGTTTAAAGCCAAACTTAAATATGTAAGTCTTTGTTGTTAAATCTTCTGAAACTACTTGTTATCACCACTTCTTCCTATCTTCCATCCCTCCTACAAATGCTGTACAAAATCAATCATACTCAAAATAAATAAAATGGATGGGGAAAAATAAAATTTGTATGTCTTCCCTTCAATCTTTAAAAATGTATATTTGGTGTGTGTTTATTTTTCCTTTTCCACTGTAGTTGTTTGAATGTCTGCCTTCTATATTATTAGCAATTTAAGGGAAAGGTTATGATTTTTCCTTTCATAGCACAGTGCTTTCTTACGGTAGGCACTCAAATATTGTATTTCTTGATCCCTGGATATAGGAACTTGCAATCTACTTAACGAAAGCAGTTACATTCATAGCAAAAAAGTAACAGTGCCCTGCAGCATAAATCATTACAGTATCGATTTCCAAACTTCACCTGTTTCACCTGCACAATAGAATTACCATGGGATCTTTCAAACATTCCGAAGTCCATGCTATACCCCAGACTAGTGAAACCATGATCTGTTGGGGTGGAACACAGACATCAATACGTTTTAAAGTTCCACATGAGATCTAATGTGCTACAAGAGCAGGAAACACTGCACTAACAAAAAAGTAGTTAAGAAAGGCTTTAGAAAGGTCCAGTTTAAGCTAGTCCATTGGTGTTCAAGTGGTTTAAGCTGTAGAAGGTTTGGAAATTATAGTACACTCCTTTACATACAGCATATAACCCCTCCCCCCTTCTCCTTCACCCATGTTATTCCTGCTGCATAAAATACCCACACTTCAATCTGGCCACTGTTGCTAAATGGTTAGAGCATTGACCCACAAACCAAAAAGTGCAGGGTTCAATTCCGTCAAGGGCACATCCCTTGGTTTCAGGTTCAATCCCTGGCCCCAATCTGGGTACGTGTGGAAGGCAACCAACTGATGAGTCTTTCTCACATCAATGTTTCTCTCTCTCCCTGCCCTCTACTTTTTACTCTCTTTAATAATCAGTGGAGCCCAGCCAGTGTTACTCAGTGGCTGAGTGTCAACCCATGCACCAAGAGGTCGCCAGTTCGATCCCTGGTCAGGACACATGCCCAGGCTGTGGGCCAAATCCTTAGTGGGGGCCATGCAGGAGGCAGCCAATCGATGTTCTCTCTCATTGATATTTCTATATATCTCTCTCTCTCCCTCTTCCCCTCTCTCTAAAATCAATAAAGAAAAAAATTTTAATTTAAAAAATAAAGTAAAAATCAATGGAAAAATATCTTTGGGTGAAGATTAACAACAAGAACAAAAAAATCCATATTTCTTCACTGGGCAACTTCGACTTCACTCAAACGCTTCCTCCCAACTCTCTCAGGCAGAAATAGGAGCTCCTTGCACAGTCTTCCCACTAAACTTTGTATTTACTTCTTTTAAAGCAAAAGTATATGAGCTAAGACACTATAAGTCACACCACCAACTTAATAACAGCTTTGGGATTATAAAAAAAGAAATTCTGCTAAATTAAATGCATGTATGTGTGTTTACATCCTGAGTTCAGAAAAGTTAAAATAGAAAAAAGTCAAGCTTAGAATCAAGGAAACACAGTATGTTTGATATTCCCATATGAATTAAATGTAATTTTACAAGCAAAGCAAAAATGTGACTATACTGTATAGTTTAAATTTTAAAAATAACATTGATATACAGTTCACCATTACAAATTTGATTTTACTCTTAGGACAACTTAAATATTTTCTTAAATTCAAGTCATAAACCACCTGAAAAATATTACAAAGCTGTGCTGGCTCAGTTGGTTGGAATGTCATCCCATACACCAAAAGGTTGTGGGTTCGAGTCCTGGTCAGGGCACATACTTTGGCTTTGGTTCCATGCTTGGTCGGGGCATATTTGGGAGGCAACTGATCGATGTTTCTCTCTCTCTCTCTCTTCCTCTCTTTCTAAAATCAATAAAAACATATCCTTGGGGGATTATTGGGGGGAAAATATTATAAAGCTTCCCAAAAATAAAGAAGTGATCATATATTAATAGTATATATATAAAAAAATAATGATTTTACTTACCTGAGTAGTGAATAAGGCTGTGTTTGAAAGATCAATAAATCATTACAGTGACCCTAATCAACATAAAGAGGAGTTATCAGTGTTTTTTATAAAAATAACAATGTATTAAAAATTGAACTTTATTTTATAAATGTAAAAGAAATTATATGAAGCATAAAATAAATCTCTCTCCAGCTATGAACACACATGTACACATGCACATACAAACATTCACATATTTGCGTCCACACAAATTTTAGATACATGGTTACCATTTTTTCAGTGACCCAATTTTTACCTAACCACAGTCTATATAATTGCAAATTTAAATATCAGAAACATGTTTTTCTCTTAGAACAGTGACTTCAAAATAAGAATAATAGTGGTTTTCAAGCTTTCTTGTTTTTAAAGCAGAGCTTTTTTCTTCAAATGACTCTTATTTTTAAATCTTCTCTTTACCTCATCTCCCTTTTCCAGGTGGTCCCAGGATTTCCTAGGAATTCTTAATTTGAAAATCACAGATCCAGAAGATTTTCTGAATATGATTCTCTCATATAAAAATTAATGAGGGAGAGTGAGCAGAACATTTCTCTAATCTTTTCAAATAGATCTCTAGAATTTCATTATTTATGATTATGATTTTAATAAGAATTCCTATTTTAATGATAAAATTCATATCCTAAGTAAAGACTTCTAGTGCCAAGAAAAAGAAGGCAAACCAACTAAATTTGCTTTTTAATTAAATGCAAAGTTAGGTTTTTAATTTTTTACTGAAGGGCTGAATTCTCAGCCAAAGAGAGTTTTGAAACTTTTGATACATACACCATTTAAATTGGAGGCCTCAGAACTATGACATGAACGAACCAAGTTTCCTGGAGTGAAGCCACCTTATTTCAGGGCTCACCAGGCCACTCTGTAGGAACAACTCTGGAGATAACTATGCCTGAAGAGATGAAAGGGAGCTGGAGCCCCCTTGGTTGGACCCTGGCTCGTAGCCAGTCCACCTCTGAAGGCTCAGTCCTGCTATGCCCAGGTGTTCCATGCAGACCAGAGCAGCCAGCCCTGAACTCCTGCCCCACCACACGGAGAGGAGCAGGTGGCCATCTGCTCTGAATTTCCCAAGGTGCTAGGAGTGAAAAACCAGTACTCTCCAAATGCTACTCATTGATTCCATTGACCTTAGTTTTATCGGATTTTAAAACTGGAATGCTTTAAATGCAAATGTAAAACAGGGGTGAAGCAGTGGCAAAAGATGCATAAAATAATAAGAAAATACACTTTGAGCATTTCAAAGTAGTTTCCTCTTGAGGGAAAAAGCTAGCCTTGATGATGCTCTAATTATTGTTAGGTAGCAAATTTCATGGGCACTTATTACACTAAGTAGTTTACATATACATTATATATATTCTTATGTATCAAATGTTACTTACAAATATTTTAATTCAATAAAATTATAAACACCCATACTATGGGGAGGCTCAAAGAGTGAAGGAAAGGAAAAGCCATCCTTTAAAGGCTCTTCTTAATAATTTGACCAATGAAGTTAATAGACCTATTCAATTTGTAAACCTAAGAAATCCTGAAATGCTTCCCCAAAGCCACTTATCCTGAAGATAGTCACACCACAGAGGAACATTTCATGCCCTTCCAGATTTTGCAATGTGGGAATATTAACATTCTTGGTGAATATCCATTTAGGATGAATAACACAATTACTCAGAGGAAACATTTAGATAAAAAATTTGCTTACTGTATCCAAGGAAAGTAAATCATCTTTGCTCCCACCAAATACCATTATTTCATTTTCTTTTCCCAAACAGGCTGTGTGCCATAACCTATGATGGAAAAGTATAAACGGAGTGAAATAATACCAAGGAAGAAATTGTATATCACATATTAATCAATTTTAATTGCACACTTTAAAGTGTAATCTCTTTCCAAAGAGGCATGATTGAACTCCACCTTTGGCATACCCTCAAAGAGAATAGATTTTAAAGATTCCTCTAGAATCTCCAGAGGATTCGATTATAGAGTTCATTAAATCATATTTCAATTAAGGAGATGGCCCCCAATAACTCTTTCCTATTATATCCCCCCAATCTTTTTTTAATCTCTTTATTTCATAGATACTGAAATAATTTAGTCACAAAATAAAATAATTTTAAAGGGAACTGATCAGCAGAAATAGACACCTGTCCCATTTTTCTTCTTAATATCTGCCATGGTGTTGTCCTCATCATTTTCAACTCTTTGTTCCCTGTTCTCTCTTGCCCCATCACCTGACAAATCCAATTTGGCATTTTCTTTTCATTTATGTTGTCACACTACTTATCACTCTGGGTACAGAATACCATACAAGTTCCTCATTTTTCTGGCTCTAATCTCTCTCAGCTACATGTAGCTGATAGGTAACATTTTCAGGCACTGTTTTAACCATGGACATTTTCTAATCAGGAAGCACCTGTGCCATTTTCTTCTCCTAATATTTATGACCAAGAGCTACTTCTTTTCCCATGAAACTCAACTCTTGCCTCTCCCCAAATGAACCTTCTACTTCAGCCAGCTTCATTTATTTGTGTCCCCTAAGAGTAAAGCTTATATCTGTCTCTAGGCTTTTGTTCACCTCGTTTCCTAGTCTTAGAATGAGAAGTCATTCTCTCAGGGCCTTAAAAAAACAAAAACAAAACAAACAAAAACAGGTTCATCATCCCCCAATGCCACCCAAACTGGCTCTGTCCCCCTCTCTATTCAGCATCTTTCAACATTTATGTGCTCATTTTATAATCTAACTTACATTTGAAAACAAACTGCTCTATATACTTCTTTAATTGTTTGGTGTATGTGTCTTTAGCTCCCCACAAAAACGATAAGATCCTTGTGGTCAAAAATTGCCACAGTGGTGTGCTGGAACTGGTTTCCTGGCTAGGGAAAACCGATCGTGCACGTCTCCATCCAACTCCATGCCCAGTGACATCATATCGGTAGCTTGAAACTGGCCATGGTGGAAATGAGCAAATACTACAAATCAGGGCTTTTTTAGTTTTGTTTTTTTCTTGGAGAGCAGTGTTAACTGTTTGCCAGCACACCACTGGAACTTGGGTAAGCTAATTTTATGCTTCTCTTTAAAAATGGCTATTATGGTGTTCTGCATCCAGTAGGTGATCAAAAACTTTTGAATAACAAAAGCAAAGACAAATGCCAGTATAGTTTATTCAGTGATTAAATAAACAGATCACTTCATAAAGGAGTGGAGCATCTAATCTGCTTTTGAAAATGGTCTGATGGCTCATATCTATTTTCAGTTCCACATTATTTACCAAGAATACTTTTATGGTTTAAAAAAGTTCAATATTTTGGGGGGCTCCAACTCTCAGTAAAAAAGTACACATAAATTTCTCAATTTTAAAAGGTAAATTGAGGGTTTACAAAGTCATTGCTTTGATTTTGAGAGTACTTTGATTACTTCCCTTAACAGATCAAATTGCTGAAGCAACAGATTCTGCTAATAATTGCATTATTATCATTTATTTCATTACCACACAACTTATTTTTAGTACATTCATCCTTTTCACTTAACTTCCACAAGTGCAAACATTGGGATTATGTACAATTTGTTAAATCAAATACATCTTCAAGCAATCATGACACATTCAGCAACAAACGCACTGGGGACCCAGGATAGAACTGAGTCTTAGAGACTGGAAAATACTCTGCCCAATTCTCCAACTTGTATGATAGACCATAATTTGATATAAATCTTCAGTAGCACCCAGGTTATGTTGTGAGGCTGGAGAGGGGGGACCAGAAGAGGGATTGAGTAAAGGAAATAGAATACAATGAAATTATCATATGTGGTAAGGAATAGCTTTATTTACTGGAGAGAAGGCACATAACCATGGCAATGCTCATGCGATGCAACAGTAACTAAGGTTCTATAGACCAACACCTTGTTTGCAGACACTTAAGAAAGTTCTTTGCTGACAGCTACCTATACCGATGATCAGACAGGGCTAGATAGATGGCGTCTCAGCTGAGCATTGTTTTATCTAAGGTGAGACCTGCAGGAGAGACTCCAACACTGGTGACTCCAACCTGGTGCTTCTCCACCAGGGCTGACTCTGTCCCCAGGGGGACATGTGACAATATCTGGAGATATTTTTGATCATCATAAATCCAGGCTGGGTGTGGGGGGAGGCAGTACTACTGGAATCTTGTGGGTAAAGGCCAGAGATGTGGTTAAACATCCTGCAATGTCCAGGATGCCTCTCCTCACATTAATTAATTTGGTCCCAAATGTCAATAGTGTCAAGGTTGAGAAACCTGCTGTGGAATGACAAGAGGAGAATTGGGCAACTCACATTTCAAATTATAGCTTGGAAAAGTTTGCACAGAACGCATTTAGATGTTAAGTAAATTCTCACTTTCATAAAAAATTAGTATATATACACACATACGTTCTCCTTACACTAAACTGTATCCCACCTGTTCTCCTCCTCACCTCATACCTGAAGATAGATCTGCCTCTGTCTTATCTGCCTTACGGAAACTCTGGCCTGGACTTCGTCATCGGAGAACACTGGAAAGACTTTCCTGCCTCGATTTTGGTGACATCTAGCTTGTAACCTGATGTTTTTCTACAGACTGACAGTTTCTGTCCTCTCACAGCTGCTCTACACTGATCACCTAAACATTCTAACAAAGCATATCATTTACATGACACATCAGCTGAATTTTAAAAAGTCTCTTTATATAGCTCAGTTCTAACTTGCATATTATTGATCATAGTTGTATTGCTCTAATTACTCATTAAGGATTGAAATATAAATAGCAATTTAAAAATTAAACATTCTTACTGTGGCCTATAATTAATGCATTCATACAATCAAACAACTGGAAGAGAATGAAGAGCTTATCTATTATCTAGTTCAAGTCCCTCATTTCACACATGAAGAAAATGATGCTCAATTTTTTAAGTGACTTTCCCAAAGCCAAAATGCTTAGTAGTAGCTGAGCCTATATCTTAATATAAAACTCTTTAAGTTAAAATATATATTACAAAAGATCCAGATTTGCTAAAATAATATATTCCAATGAATTTTATACATGAAAATATAAGAATCATACATATAATTATGATAAGCTCTAAATATATTACGCATATTAATATAGAAATACATAGTGAGACATATATAAATATTTTCAGGTCTTTTTCTCAAGTAAGTTACTTATCATATACTACATTACTGAAATGCATGTCACTAAGTTGACTTCACATTAGTATAAGTAATCTATAGTAAGACATCTGAAATACATGGCATGAAAAAGAATAAAATCTATTATTAACTATAATAATTATAATGTGCTGAATTTGAATATCCTATGAATATATCTTTATTATACTACTCAATCAAATTAGAAAAAATAAGAATTACAGTATTCATGTGGTTTTCTTTGTAGTCTAATAATAGTATATTGTTTTTACAATTTTTTGTAGACAATTGTACTCTATAATATACCACAAATAACTAACATGTTTTCTTTTTCAAAAAATTCACAATCCTGAATACAATATACAGTTAATAAAGAAAAATAATAATCTACCATCTACTTGATCAATATGGAAGCACTTTCCCCATTAAATTGCTCTAAACCTCTTCCGTAAACAAATCACTACTACTAAAGCCAACCCCATTCTTGTCTATTTATTAAAAATAGTAAGATTATATACTTTCCATTTCTTGGTCTTTTCATATTTATCAGGCAGGAATATGCATTTGCCTAAAAGAATAATAGTTTCAAATATGCAAAAATATGGGTAGAAACTGAATAGATCATTTCTAACAATCAATATCATTTAAATGATAATTAAATTACTTAGGTAACATCAAACTTATTTTAAAGATATCCTTCCTGATGGTTTATGGTTTTAATGGCAAACACTATAAATTCGGTGCTATATTTTAATACTTGAAAATTTCTTAACTATTTTACTATTTGTCAACTTCTAGATTTACCTGGGTCTTGTTTTAGGTAAATATGTCAGTTGTTTCCAATGATTTGTTACGACATTATGAATCCAACCATCACCTGCAATATTATGAAAGTTCAAAAATTAAGATTAGGTCTTTGGGATAAAATTTAAATTTGTATCCAAATTTATCATGCTACATTTACCCAACGATCTGGTGTGTGTGCATATTTTCTCATAAAAATATTCAGAGAGAGCCCTGGCTGGTTTGGCTCAGCGGTTAGAGCGTCAGCCCTCAGACCAGTGAGTCGCGTGTTGGACTCTGGCCCAGGGCTCGCACCTCAGTTGCGGTTCGTCCCAGGCCCTGGTCTGGGTCGTTCAGGAGGCAACCTGTTGATGTGTCCCTCTCACGTCATGTTTCTCTCTTTCTCCCTTCCTCCCACTCTATCTGAAGATAAACAGAAAAATATCCTCCAATGAGGATTAACATATATATTCAGAGATATACAAAATAGAGTGAACATGACAATGAACCCAACATATGCCAGACTCAGCAACTACCCAGATTTTGTCACATGTGCTCCATTTATCTCTTTATTGTTGTTGCTGAGTTATTCTACAGCAAATCCTAAATCTCCGATCATTTCCCCCATGCGCACTTCAGTAAGCATTGCTTAAAAAAGTGGAATTTTTTTTTACGTACCTACAACACCACTGTCACATACTGCAGTGACATTATCACAGTAAAAAAAACTAAAACTTATTTCTTAGTATTATCTAAAACACATATGACCACATCTTAAGCTGCATCTATAAAGCAAGAAACTGACTGAACTAAGAGGACATTTACAGATATCTGGGTACCAGACTTATCGGGGTGATCATTTCTTCTACACCTGAAACTAATATAATAGTGTATATCAACTGTAATTGCAAAATAAGTTAATTTAAAAATAAAAATTGAGAAAACATTGTTTAGCCCTGGCCAGTATGGCTCAGCAGTAGGAGCGTTGCCCATGGACCAAAGAGTCCCAGGTTCGATTCCGGCCAAGGGCATGTGCCTCGGTTGCAGTTTGTCCGTAGCCCCGGTAGGGGTTGTGCGGGTGGTAACCAAGTGATGTGTCTCTCTCACGTTAATGTTTCTCTCTTTCTCTCTCTTCCACCCTCTCTCCCTCCAGCTCTATCTGAAGATTAATGTGAAAATATCCCTGGGTGAGGACGAAAAACAAACATTTTTAAAAGAGTTAGGACATTTAATTCCCTATAGGTCAATGTCCAAAACCAGCAAATAGGAATTAAAAACAGTAGTGCTCATGAAGAGATGATATTAAACAACCCCTAGTGAAATGCATAAATGTTAGCTTTTTTACTAGATTCCACATCTCTTTTAATTAAAATCCCCAGAAATTGAAGAGCATAATATTCTGCTATAGTTAACATCCCCTACTGGGAACTGCTGTTTCCAACCAACTTCTGGAGTTGCTGGCCAGCAGACTGCCAGATACACTGCTGATGCTCAGTAAATTTTTGTTGGGAAAAAAAAAGTAGTTTTTCCAGATCCTATATAAGAGTATAGAATTGGTTTTAATGGTATATGAGTTCTCTTAATGAAAACATCTCTAGCCATAGAAAACTTTTGAGTTAATACAAAACATTTAGTATGTCAAACTAAGAAGTGGATATTCATAGTGGTGTAATTGTACTGCTGAAAGAAAAACCGCGTTTCAAAACCCACAGCCATTGGGATCAGCAGTGACCGAAGTTTAAAAAATTCTAGCTAAGTACTTTCCTTTATAGTTTGGGAACAAAGAGAGAAGCAACAGGCCTTGCCACCTTATACTTCCAGAGCATTCTGGAATAGGCTGCTCTTCTAATCTCCATTCCAGCCTACAGTATAAGCATCTGGATCAAAAAAATCAGGAGAACATGGAATCATAGGCTAGTGTAGTTGCAGGGGGCTTTAATCACCTAGGTTCAACCACCCTTCCTGTTCCCCACACCTAGGAAAAAGGAGAACATCGAGAGCCAAGGCTACAGAAGCAAAGTGGTCTTCCACTTCTAATCCTCAGTGCAAGCACACAGTCGGAGATATAATAAAGGTAAAGCATAAAATCAGAAAAAAAACAAAAAACAAAACAAGATACCTTTGGTATAAAATACAACTAAGAAAAATGATAGTAATTGTAGGCGAAACATGAACTCACTTAATGGAATATTGTCCGCACTAAGTCCACCAAATAAGAAAAGCTTATCATCAGCTATTGGTGTTAAAGTATGCCATGATCGATGTTTTGGGTTTTCTCCATTAATAGGAATCCTGTGGCAAAAGAAAAATATAAAAATCTAGGTACTGTGTTAGTTAAAATAAAAGGTTTTCAATCATCTCAGGTCTTAAAGGGAAAAATTGCTTTCACTAGTATAAATTTTATAAAAATTTTTAAAATTCTTAGGTGAGTTTAAACAATCTTTCTACTTAGTGTCTATTCCACCTGGTCAGAGAACACAGATTGAAAAGTAAGTCCCAGTTAGTTCACAATGCATACTCAGCACCAATCTTGTTGGCTAATCTAGGAAATGTCCTCAAGTGTTTCAACATAATTATTTTCATGTCTATATCCTTTAACTGTTGTTATACATTTAATTTTGTGTTTTCAGCAGATTTCCTCAGTGATATTATGGGATTTTGTTGTTGTTGTTGTTGACTTGGCCTATTTGTTGTAAAATTTCCCAAAGCACGATCTTCACTTGAACATGCTAGCTACTCTAGCTTCAAATAAAAGCACCTCGATGTGTCTCTCTCACATCAATGTTTCTCTCTCTTCCTCCCCCTCTCCCTCTTGCTCTATGAATGCAAAAAGTGTCCTCAGGTGAGGATTATAAAAATAAAAAAATTAAAAAAAGTACACAAGCCATTCCACATCCAGGAAAAAAAGAAAAAAACTAATAAAATAGAAACAGAAGTAAAAACATAAGCACACAAGTTTAACTAATGTGGGTGGTGAGATGAGAAGGCACCGTTCTCCAGCATTCTGGAGTGCTCCGGAAGAACATGGACTATATGTAGAAGATGTTATTAGTTTTTTCCAAACTGGAAATATTTTTATTATTTTAGTTGACTATAAAAAACATTTTGGTTAGAAAACATTCAACAACCACAAAAATATTTTTAATGAGAGTTATATATTTCTGTCTTCCAGCAATGAGAAATAATAATGTGGTATATATGTTTCCAGACTTTAATGTACATATAAATATTTATTAAAAATATATCAATGGGATCATATGTCCTATTTTGTAATTTTTTTCACTCCCCTAGTATGTTGTAGAATATTTCCATGAAGTACTTTCCTTTGGTAATAGAAGCATGACAGCCCTTTGGGCAAATGTACCATGATTTAAACAATCCTCCCCACTTGTGGGCATGAAGGTTGATCTCAAGTTTTTGTTTTATAAATAATGTTGCAAGAAACATTTTTGTGTATGTACACACACATAAATATACTTGTTCAATTATTGTCTTCAAAGAAATTCTGGATCAAAGTAGAAATTCCATTTAATATTTTAAACATATTATCAGAATACCCTCCAGAAAAATTGTACCAATTTATATTTTTACTAATTATGTTGTTACAACCTGACACACACTGGTTATTTGTAATTATTTTTATCTGATAAGTGAAAACTAGTTTTATTTCCATTTCTGTAACACTCTAAGAAGTTGAACATGTTTTAAAAATAATTTTGCCTCTTTGTATTTCTTCTATGAGTTGCTGCTCATTCATGTTCTTTGTCCACTTTCCTGTTGGATTACTTGTCTTTTTCTTACCAACTTCGTTCTTGAGGATTGAATATTAAATGTAAATTGTAATTGAAAAATAAAAATATTTTAAAGAAAAATTCAAAATGAAAAATACTGTGTGAGTCAAACATAAAAAAAAAAAGAAATACTATAAATATTACTTCTAATTTATTTTTTTGTTTGCATTTTCCAATTTGCCTTTGAACTTTTTGTGGTATATTTTTCTACACAGAGATAATTAATTCTTAAGTAGTTTTATCAATCTGTCTTTTAACTTATGTATTTTGAGTTTATATCATTTTTAGAAAAGCCTTCTCCATGACAAAATACTCCATGACTGTATTTTCTTCTTGTACTTTTGTGGTTTTATATTTTATACCATTTGTACTTTGGAATACTATATAGCTATGGGTTCATCTCATTACATGAATAGCTAAATGGATAGCTAAATATATTTATTCTATTGCTAAACATATATTATGAGCCATAAATAAAATCTGACTTTTATTCACTCCATTATCTGTTCACCTGTGATGACCCTATTAACCACTGCTTCATTTCTTCTACTGACTAGTCCTTGAGAATACATAGTATAAAACCAATACTTTTACATAATCAATTTTCAACTGCTAGTATTCTCATGTTTTATATAGTTTGGTTAAAGAACAAACTCTCTTTAAATTTATATATTCCTTGCTTAGACATATAATCTGAAGAGAAAAAAATGATAGTTCAGTTTTAGAGACCCAAATTTGGATTATGATGCATGCACCCCCACACACAAACACAGAAATGCCTATAGATAAAAACAAATTTCATACTTACCTTCCAGACCAAGTCCAGGTATCTAAGTTTAGATAGTGTAAATCATTCATTCTAGTTTGCTAAAATAAAAATGTGTTAAACTGGTCAGTGTTTTACATCTTTCATAAGCAAAAATTTTGGTTTTAAAACAGTTTACATTAAAACAGATGATCTTCACTTTACTTAACATTATAAGTTTATATACTAGAAAACAAGCACTAATAAAGTTAACACAGTGCTACCAAACTAATGTGTCAAGGGGGAAAGGAAGAAATGAGTTTAATTAACAGGATTTAGATGATAAAAAATTAAAATTTTCTAATAACACACTAAAGTGAAGGATTCTCCTCATTAAAAATGATTTATGACCATCTGTGATTATTCATGTATGGTTTGTTTGAGGACAGAAGATAAAAGTTATTGAAGAACACTATAATCTCTAGATTTTTAAAATATTCAGTTCTATAAATTCAGAGGATATGTTTTGATAAGAAGCATCACACACAAAAAGGTTATTTCCATTCAAATACTAACCAAAACACGTCCGCCAAAAACATAGCCCTTACTTCCAAGCACTGCACACGCATGTGCAGCTCGAGGCTGTGGTGGAACACCGCCCTGCAGAGATTGAGAAACAGAGTGCACAGATTTGAAACATGTGAAGTGATGTCATGTTCTTATGGTTAGTATAAAAAATACTTGACTGCTGAAAAAGAAAAACTACATCGGGTGGTGAAAAATGGCGGTGGAGTGAACGGAAGCTACACAGACCGTCTCCCAGGACCAAACTGGAATTACAACTAAAACAGACAAATCGACAGGAAAAAGCAACACAAAAGCAGCTTGCGAGGACCATATAACCAGGGACACTGACTCATTCCTGGTAGGATTGCGAAGGAACGAGGCGGGGGCTGAGCCTTACCTAGAAGTGGTGCCCTCGGGTTGAACTCCCAAGTGGCTCCACAGCGCAGACCCGGGACAGAGGCTAAAACAGCCACAGCCACTCACCTTGAGCTCCGGCAGAGAGAGGGCAGATTGAACTGGAACTGGGTGGGAATACCTGGGATTTGGAGGGTACTCAGAGCTTTTGCTGAGTTGCAGCCACACAGGACAGTGGCCATAATGCTCCTTCCCAGGGCTCTGGGGAGAGGCAGCAGCCCCTCCCTCAAGATTCAACCCCACCCTGTGGGCCATTGAAATGCAAATTGAGGCTCACTAACAACCAGCATCTGCCCCACCCTCGGGAAATCCACTTATGCTGAGCACCTGAGGGAGTTTTTCAATCAACTGACAACCCAAAACTCTTCAAGTAACCTGGACTGCTAGCATCCAGGCAAAAAGCTAGAGTATAACAGTACTTTTCCTGGGCTAACAACTCTAACCAGGAAAGTAAGACTTGACAGTGGTGTTTAACGTGGGTCCTCCCTCACTCATCTAGACCTAGGAGAGGGAGCCACAAACAGCACAACACCAATACCCACAGGGAAAACTTGACAGGCTCAAAAGCCCACTGTGGTGGCCAAAATGGTGAAACACAGAAACAGAAGCCAAATGAAAGAACAAGAGACCTCCACCAAAGATGAGATCAATGTGGAGCAGTTAGGCATGTTAACAGAGCTAGAATTCAGAGCCATGATCTTGAGGAAGCTCAAAAGCATGAGAAAAGATATAGAAATGCTGAGAATCAACCAATTGGAAATTAAAAACCACCAGGAAGAGATCAAGAGTGACATATCACAAATGAAGAACACACTGAAAGGTCTAAAGCGCAGAGTAGAGGAAGCTGTGGACTGGATCAGCGAATTAGAAGACAGGGTAGAAAAAATCAACCGATCAGAAAACCAAAAGAAAAAAACGATAAAAAAAAAGCAGGAAGACAGCTTAAGAGAACTGTGGGACAACTGGAAACACAATAATATTCACATCATAGGAGTCCCCGAAGAAGAAGAAAATGAACAAAGGTTAGAGAATATATTCAAAGAAATAGTGACAGAAAACATCCCTAATTTGGTGAAGGAAGAAGGTATTCAAGTTCAAGAAACACAGAGAGCCCCAAATAAGAACCAAAAAAGGCCCACACCAAGACACATAGTAATTAAAGTGCCAAAAATTAAAGACAAAGAGAGAATCCTAAAAGCAGCAAGAGATAAGCAACAGGTTGCCTACAAAGGAAACCCCATAAGGCTCGCAGCAGACTTCTAACAAGAAACACTGAGGCCAGAAGGGAATGGCATGAAATAATTAAGGCCATGAAAAACAAGGATCTGAATCCAAGACTACACTACCCACAAGGCTTCATTCAAAATAGAAGGTCAAATAAAGAGCTTCCCAGACAAAAAAAAAAAGGCTAAGGGAATACATTAGCACCAAACCAGCACTGCAAGAAATGTTAAAAGGACTGCTGTAATTAGCAGGAGAAATAGGAAGAAAACTAGAACCACACTAAACAAAAATGGCAATAAATAAGTACATATCAATAATCACCTTAAATGTAAATGCTCCAATAAAAAGACACAGAGTAGCTCATTGGATGAGAAAGCATGACTCATCTACATGTTGTTTACAAGAGACCCACCTCACAACAAAACACTTACATAGGTTAAAAGTGAAGGGATGAAAAAAATTTTTCCAAGCAAAAAAAAGCTGGGGTAGCAATACTCATATCTGATTAAATAGATTTCAAAATGAAGACCATAATTAGAGACAAAGAAGGCCGCTACACAATAGTGAAAGGATCTATCCAACAGGAAGATATAACCTTGATAAACATATATGCACCGAATATAAGAGCAACAAAATATATTAAAAATCTTCTGTAGGACTTCAAAGTAGAAATAGACAGCAATACAATCATAGCAGGGGACTTCAACACCCCTTGACAGCACTGGATAGATCCTCTAGACAAAAAATTAGCAAGGAAACAGAGACTCTAAATGAAGCATTAGACAAAATGGATTGAATAGATATCTACAGAGATTTACACCCCAAAACTACAGAATTCGCATTTTCAAGTGCACATGGGACATTCTCAAAGATAGACCACATGATAGGACACAAACTAAATCTCTACAAGTTCAAGAAGATTGAAATCATATTAAGCATCTTCTCAGATCACAGTGGCATGAAACTAGAAATCAATTGCAACAAGAACATGCAAATATATTTGAACAGATGGAAGCTAAATAGCATTTTATTAAACAATGAATGGGTTACCAAGGAGATCAAGGAAGAAATTCAAAATTTCCTGGAAACCAATGAAAATGAACACACAACAACACAACATCTATAGGATGCAGCAAAAGCAGTTCTGAGAGGGAAGTTCATAGCACTACAGGCCTACCTCAAGAAACAAGAAAAATTTCTAACTGACTGTCTAACCTCACAACTTAAAGAATTAGAAAGCAAACAAAAAGAAAACCCCAGAGCAAGTAGAAGGAAGGAAATAGTAAAGATCAGAGCAGAAATAAATGACATAGAGACCAAAAAAACAATTCAAAGGATCCATGAAACAAAGAGCTGGTTTTTTCAAAAAGATAAATAAGATTGATGGACCCTTAGCTAGACTCACCAAGAAACAAAGAGAGAAAACCCAAATGCACAAAATCAGAAATGAAAGAGGAGAAGTAACAACTGACACCACAGAAACACAAAAGATCGTTAACAGCTACTATGAACAATTATATGGCAACAAATTTGACAATCTAAGCGAAATGGACAAATTTCTAGAAACACACAGTCTCCCAAAACTAGACCGAGAAGAGATAGAAAACTTGAAGAGACCAATAACAACTAAGGAAATTGAAGAAGTAATCAAGACTCTCCCACCAAACAAAAGCCCAGGCCCGAATGGCTTCACGGGGGAGTTTTACCGAACATTCAAAAAAGAACTAACACCCATTCTCTTCAAACTATTTCGAAAAATTCAAGAAGGACGACTTCCAAACTCGTTCTAAGAGGCCAGCATAATTCTAATTCCAAAACCAGAAAAAGACATTACAAAGAAAGAAAACTACAGGCCAATATCCCTGATGAACATAGACGCCAAAATCCTGAACAAAATACTAGCAAATCGGATCCAGCAATACATCAAAAAAATTATTCATCATGATCAAGTGGGATTCATTCCAGGGATGCAAGGCTGGTACAATATTTGCAAATCAATAAATGTGATACACCACATAAACAAAATGAAGAATAAAAACCACATGATCATATCAATAAATGCCAAAAAGCCTTTGACAAATCCAGCATCCATTTCTGATAAAAACACTCTCATTTAACATTGTACTGGAAGTCTTAGCCACAGCAATCAGACAGGAGGAAAAAATAAAAGGGATCCAAATTGTAATGGAGGAAGTGAAACTGTCATTATTCACAGATGGCATAATATTATACATAGAAAACCCTAAAGACTCCATCAAATATCTACTAGACTTAATAAATGAATTTGGCAAAGTAGCAGGATACAAAATTGTCAAGAAATTGACGGCATTCTTGTACACCAATGATGAACTCACAGAAAGAGAAACTGAAAAAACAATCCCATTTACCATCGCGGCAAAAAAAAAAAAAAAGATACCTACGAATAAACTTAACCAAAGAAGTAAAGGATCTATTTGCAGAAAACTACAGGACATTGAAAAAAGAAATTGAGGAAGATAAAAAAGTGGAAGCACATACCTTGTTCATGGATTGGAAGAATTAACATCATTAAAATGTCCATACTACCCAAAGCAATCTATAGATTCAATGCAATCCCCATGAAAATACCAACAACATATTTCACAGAACTAGAACAAATACTTCAAAAGTTCATATGGAACCAAAAAAGACCCCAAATAGCCACAGCAAGTTTGGAAAAGAAGGACAAGGTAGGTGGGATCACAATACCAGATATTAGGTTATACTACAAAGCTGCTGTAATCAAAACAGCCTGGTACTGGCACAAGAACAGGCATATAGACCAGTGGAACAGAACAGAGAACCCAGAAATGGACCCAAGGCAATATGCTCAATTTATATTTGACAAAAGTGTCAAGAGCATACAGTGGAGTAAAGACAGCCTCTTTAATAAATGGTGTTGGGAAAATTGGACAGCTACATGCAAAAAAATGAAACTAGACCATCAACTTATACCATACACAAAAATAAACTCAAAATGGATGAGAGACTTAAATGTGACCCATGAATCCATAAAAATTCTAGAACAAAATGTAGCAACAAAATTGCGGACATCATACGCAGCAGAATTTTCACAGATACGTCACCTAAGGCAACAGAAACAAAGGAAAAAATGGACAATGGGACTACATCAAACTAAAAAACTTCTGCACAGCAAAAGAAACAATCATCAAAATGGAAAGGCAACCCACTGTATGGGAGAACATCATTGCTAATGATACATCAGATAAGGGGCTAATTTCCAAAATATATAGAGTACTCATACAACTCAACAAAAGGAAGCCAAAGAACCTAATTAAAAAATGGGCAGAGGAGGTGAATAAACACCTCTCCAAACAGGACATACAAATGGCCAAGAGATATATGAAAAAATGCTCAACATCACTAATCATCAGAGAAATGCAAATTAAAACAACAATGAGGTATCACCTCACACC